TTTCTTTGTCTGCAATTGTGCAGTTTTGTCATCTGTCCCTCCCTACCCCCCTTCTTAACTCTCTTATCTCCGAGGCGCTGCCTCCCTCGCTGATGAGCTGGACCTTGGTCAGTGGTGGCTCTGTCTTGGAGCCAGCTGGCGTTGGCTCCATCAGACACGGGGAGGCTTCTAGCAGCTTCTCACAGAAGCCACCCCTGTAGCCCATCTGTTACCAAAACCTTGCCGTGCAAATCCAGTACACAGAGGTTGCTCAGAGAGGTTTTGGAGCTCACCTCCTTGGAGATACTCGGAACCCAGCTGACCAAGAGCTCCGAGAATCCTCATGTAGCTGACCCTGCTCCAGGCAGGGGATTGAACTGGCCTCTTCCAGTCTGAATTAATCTGCGATTCTATAGAAGTCTGTAATAACAGGAGACTGAACAGAGGCATGACCCTCAAATTCAGGAATGGTAGCTACTGTAAGCAAATACGTAATTCTTAATGGCTCTTTACATCTAGTTTAGAATAAGCCAGTAGTTCCCATCTAAAGGTCATCTTTATAGAGATAAGACTAATAAATATACAGAAAAGTTGGGGTTGTTTTTGATTGAAAATATTCAGTCAGTCCTGGGATGTTTTGCAAAGGCTATGCTAGCACCTCTCATAAATAACACCTCTCAGGGCACGTTTTCTAATTCTTCTTCTTGTGACTTTTTCTGGCTCCAGCCTGCTGGTGTAATTCTACCTGATTCAATAGTAGTGGGGAAAAAAATCTTTCCCAGGTGTCTGCAAATTTATAGTTTCCTGATGTTTCGGCATCAAACTTGGTGATAATTTCATTTTTTCTTCGCACTTGCTTGTACATGCAGTCTGTGTTTGGTTGGGACTGGCATCTCCCGCAGTGTTTAATGAGTGTGTTTCATTTCCCTGTGCCAGGTCCCAGGCTTGTATTAAAACCCTTTTCATCGTACTTGAGTGTCTGTTCCTTAAATAATGTCACATCATCCCAACCCCTGCACAGCAAGAATCTGTAACTTTTTCAGTTTCCACTGAGCTCTGGGGCCGGGGAGGTCTTGAAGTGTTTGGTTGGTTGTTTGCAAAATTGAACTTCTGCTGTGCTGAACTCTAAGACTGTAATTTTTTCGTTTGCTTGCATTTCAGTGCAGTTAGCCTTCAAAGCTTAATGTTTTCCTTTTCATTGTAATAAACTGCTTGCTGTTTGTCTCTGGTTTGGATGTAGTACTCAAAAGACCCATTTCATGTGTGGCGAGAGATTGTTAGAGGGACTCCAAAGGGTTTTAATGAATATCTGTTTGAAATTATGTGAATTAGTTTGTAGAAAAGTTTTCTTAATTCTTGTCTTGTTTGTTTACATTGTTGAAATTAGCTTCTCTGTCATCAGAGACTGTTTCTTGGGCTTTCTGCTAACCAGAGAAAGGCTAATTGCAGGCTGGCAAAGTGTTGTGAAATAAAAGATGTGGAAAGTAATAGCACTCAAGTAGTATACGTGGCTTCTCTTAACCATCTCCAAAAAACCCATTTCTTTTAAGATCCTTTTTCATTAACAAAACTGAGTCAAGTTTCCATTTCTGCCCAAATTATACAGAGATAACATAAGATATATAGATATTATAAGAGAGATATGTATATTTCTGTTCTGGTTTGCGAATCTTTAAATTTCAAATTTCCTCTTAAAAAAGAAACAACCTTGTGTTGGGATCATTTCTCACAGAAATTCAGTAAGGTTATCTCACAGAGAAGATTTTCCTGGTATTTTACCACAACAATCCTGAAGGCTTCCAAACCCAACCCTGTACCCTGGAACTTCAACAGAACATTTTCTGTGAAGTTATCTTGAAACACACACACCTTTCAGGAGCTGTGGAGCAAGCCTCTTCTTTCTCGAAAGTTAAGCTTGGCAAAACTGCGTGGGTTTTAGACTCTTTCTGAAACTTCCAAAGAAATAGAGAGGAGGCACAGTTCTCTGACTGGATCAAGGGATTGAAATTTGGGATAGCTAATCCAGTGGAATTCTTCTCTGCAATAAACCTGTTCTTTCTTGTGTATGTAGGCTTCAGGCTCTTTGGGACAAGATTGTCTCATGGAATGGGATACTGATAGGAAGACCTAATGCTTATAATTCCTTTACAATGCCGTGAAAATCATGGTGCCCTTAGTGGCTTTTTTGGTTGGGGGGAAGGAGTGCAGTCTTATTTAACTTCCAAAAATACATCCTAGATTTCATTTTCTATTTTTTTTTGTTCTCTTTTGTCTGAAGGCTCAGCTGTCTCAAGTTCTGGAAGAAGTGGGAAATCATAAGCAAAGAGCAGAGATGGTAAGTGTTCATCTTTGGGGGGTTTTTGAATTGTTTTACAGAGCAGCAACATATGCAATGTTCAGTTCATTTAAACAGTGGATCAGTTCCAAATATTCAGAAATGAATAACAAATAAGCATTGTAAAAGTTTGTATCACTACTGCTAGTCTTGGCATTCTCTGTCTCTGTACTCATGTGGAACAAGTGTTGGATGAGATCTAGTGGTCTGCCTTCCTTTTTTTGGCAATTTCCTTTCTCTTTGTAAGCAGTTCTAGATCAGAAGCAAGCATTTAATTTCATACTGAATTAACTCCTTTCTTTGGAGGCCTTTGATTCAATCTCAAGTGTGCAAAGGACAAGCAGATAAGATGCAAAAGAATTACCACAAACTAATTTTTTGTAATATCTATTGATTTTTTTGCTGGGTTTGAATATTTTATTGCCAGTTCCCTCAAGGACCAAAAATAATAGAGGCCACAAAACCAGGCAGTAGGGAGGGTTTATGTGCAGTTTCATGACTGTTGTATACAATTGTATACTGTTGTGGCCAAGAAGGCCAACAGCATCCTGGCCCATATCAGAAACAGTGTGGCCAGCAGGACTAGGGCAGTGATCATCCCTTTGTACTCCACGCTGGTGAGACCGCACCACTACAAAACTGTGTTCAGTTCTGGGCCCCTCACTACAAGAAGGACATTGAGCTGCTGGAGCGTGTCTAGAGAAGAGCGACAGAGCTGGTAAAGGGCCTGGAGAAAAAACCTTATGAGGAGCGGCTGAGGGAGCTGGGGTTCTTTAGTCTGGAGAAAAGGAGGCTGAGGGGAGACCTGATCGCCCTCTACTACTACCTGAAAGGAGGTTGTAGCGAGGCAGGGGTTGGTCTCTTCTCTCCGGTAACTAGCGATAGGACAAGAGGAAATGGTCTCAAGTTGCGCCAGGGAAGGTTCAGGTTGAACATTAGAAAGAACTTCTTCACTGTTAAGAGTCGTTAAGCATTGGAATGGGCTCCCCAGGGAGGTGGTGGAGCCACCATCCCTGGAGGTGTTCAAAAAACCTTTAGATGTGGCACTTCAAGACATGGTTTAGTGGACAGGGTGGCGTCAGGTATATGGTTGGTCTTGATGATCTTTGAGGTCTCTTTCAACCATAATGATTCTATGATTCTTCATACACTTGAATAAATAAGGTGTCAGCATTAACCTGTTTCCTGAACCAATATTTTTGCTAATGAGTGATTTGTGGGGTTCCTGCAACTTTTCCTAGTCACAAGAAAAACCTGAGTAGTATCCAAGATGTAGATGCTCATTCTGCAGATATGTTTTACACTGGATTATTATTTTATTACTAACGAATAAATAGCATGCATCACTGGCTAGTTAGTACGTGCTAAACAGACATCTGCTCTAAAATCCACATCATAAACTACATCGTCAACACTAGTCTTTTTAGGCATCTGCTTAACTCTACTAGGGCACTGAAGGGCAGAACCGGCATGCCCTTGCTGTGCTATTAATAGGTTGCCATACGTCTGCTAGTATCTTTCGTTTTTTAATTTGTGCTCCTTGCTGTTTAAAAATCAGAGTTTTCATAATTAAAGCATTAATTGATTCTGGTTCTGAGGTGGTCTTACGTTGTGGGCAAACATTTTTGTATGCTCAGCTGCTTTCTGTGGTGACGCAGGTCAGAACTGGTATTTCCAAAGAAAACTGAATTAATCCTATTTACCATCTGATCTCATTACATGCTGCCTTGTTATAGTTTTGAATTCTATACAATCAATTTTGCATTGTGCTCACCGGATGTATCAGAGGAAAAATTTGCTGTTATGTTTTAAATGTTCTGTAGTGTGTTTTTTTTAAACATTTCAAAGTTGGATTTTTTTGGCTCGTTAAGCCTGGATTTTGAGTTATTTGTTTGCCTTCAAAAATTTGTTGTATCAAACAGGCTAGCAGAGAGCTGGAGAAACTGGAACTTCCAGTGTTAAAGCATTAATTGGTGGTGTACATCATCCATCAGCAGAGGATAAAGCAGCAGTCAGTGTTTGGTGCCTATTCCCAATGATTACTCAGTGGAAAACTGCAGGTCTTGTGATCTGCCAGTAGCACTTACATCAACCTCGCATGAACAGGCTGTAGTGCGTAGTGCTTTAGACAATGGATTGCAGATTGTGGGGTGTGGGCTTTATTCAGCATTTTGAATTTTGTTTAGTAAGTATAGGAAAATTGCTTCATAGAGTGGAACAGAAATTGTTTATCCTCTTTTTCCCTTTTGAAGGGAAACCTGATGGTATAGCTCCATCTTTTCACTGGTGGTAGTTGGTTCTCCTGCATCATCAGGTGAAATCTCCCTGGTAGGGCAAGATGTGTCACTTCTTGTCTCCTACAATATTGGTGGTGGCGTAGGTCTGTCCCCTTTGGATGGGGCTGTTCCATTAGCTACCTGCCCAAGGGCACCAGCAGTTATACCGTCAGCCCCACTCTCCTCCCTGCCATCCAATGAAATGTTCTTTATGTTGGTTTCCCCCTCCCTGATCATCATCTCACCTTAATTTCAGAGTCCTTTAAAGCTGACACTTCAGCAGTTGTTTGCCTGATTTGGATTCCTGGCATCTCGCCTTGCTTTTCATCCCTCTCTCCCTTTTTCACCCGTGATCCACTGCTTGTTAGTTTGATGTTAAGCTGCTGCAGCTAGGGGGATGCAGAAGGGCTCTGGGTCCTGCTCTGGGTGCTGACAGATGTGGATATTGCTTTTCATCAGCCATTCTGTAAACAGGCTTATGGCCCTGAGTGAAATGGAATAAACAGTAGTCAGGTGGTATCGTGGAGTCTGATGGCTCTTTGGGCTGCTTGTGGGATAAACCTTTGTAGAGGTGACATCTCTAATGCCACCCTGAAGAGTGCTAATGGCTTTACCACCCTGCCCAGAGCACTGGAAATGAAGCGATGTGCTCTGGGGCTGGTAAACTAGTTGATTGGATCTCACTGATGAGTTTGATAGGCTTCCTTGATACAATGGAGAGCATCTTAGATGCTCTGGTAAATAATTTATTCTTTACATAGCAATATTTAAAAGTAAAATACTTGTGGGATGAATCTGATAGGAACATGGCCTCAATAAGACAGTATCTGCGTACTCTGTGTTCTTGGGAGGCGAGGGTCCTAGTTCAGGGAATTGTGTCCATGGGGACAATACAAGATGAAGGGTGGTGTGTGCTATAGGGGACACTGTGCTAGGCCAGGGCACAAGGTCTTGCTAGAGGAAAGTAGGATGGGCTTCCTGCACTAGCTGCCATTGAGTACTCCAGTGTATGATTTCACTGCTTGTCAGCTAAAAAAAAGAAAGAAATTTAAACATCTTCAGCTAATTGCAGTCGACAAGACAAAGGCAGTTTGACTTTCCAGTATTAATTAGCAAACCCATACTAATTAGCTTGTATAAGCACAATTCATTTTTTTAAATGCAATTAATATTGCAACTGAAGACGTCTCTGGGCTGTGCCGCTGTATCATTAACATACTTTGCCCTAATTAGACACGGCCAGTAGTGGCTGGAGAAATGAGTTTGTGATTACAACCATAAAAAAGTCCTGTAATATTTTATATCCTTCAGGGAACTTGAACCTAGAATTTATTTTCCGATTTAAGAAAAATTACTCTTATCATTGTGCTGTGTAATTATAACAATGAAACTTTGATTTTTCTCTCCCTCTAACATTTCACTTCTTTATTTTTCTTTATTCATGGCTTGAGTGTGTTCCTGTTGTAAGGGAACAGTGCTTGCCTAGTCTTCTGAGAGCTGGTACGTAAACGAGTCACCAATCTGATAGGGCTCAGATGACCTGGTTGTCCCACAGACCTGTGGGGTCTGTGTTTCTTTTATTTGCTGAAAGAATGTTTTCTTTGAATGAAAGAATGTTCTGAATTTTTTTTGGTGCCTAAGCACACTTCTTTCCTGCAATATTTGTGTATGTATGTGCGCTTTTCCAACAATTTTATCAGCACTGGAAGTTCTCTTTATCGAGGCTAGTGTTCCAATATCTTTATCTCCAGGATGTGCCAGGAGATTGCTCACAGAGTTCACACATATGGCTCCCTGTTTTGTGGTCCCAGCATCTTACTTCTTATGGTATGTTAGTCTAATGCTCTACTGGCATAGAGCTGAGTGCTAACTTCGCTCACACCAAAATATTATTTGTGGAAAATGCTTTTTTGTTTGTTATATTATTTTTCTTTCTCTCCCTGAGGGAGGGAAGCAGAAGATGTGTTAGTTTTTCTAATTTTCGTTTGCCTTTTTCATATCCCTTTGTAGCCAGGAGGAAATTGTTTGGCTCAAGCTTGCCGTCCAAGCAACAGCTGTGATCCCTGATCTTACACTTTCTTTCAGTCTGATTCTGTAGCAGTGGGCATTCATGTCAAGATTTTTTTTCTCCATCATTAATCCCTGAAGGAAGTCAGCTTGGTATTAAAAAAAAGTATCACCTGTATTTTCATTGCCCTGAGGTGCTCTGGGTATCTTTTGGCTTTCATCTTCAAAAGACAGCTTGACCCATGTGGGCTCTGAAATCTATAGGCTGCTCATTGGAACAAATTATATTTCACCCTCCAGCAGATTAAAAAGGATGGATATAAGAATCAGAAGAATTGCTTAGCAGGGTGGGAGGTAAAGAAGATTTGAAGTCCGAGAATGTAGCCATCACAAAACGAATGACATAAATTGAGTGTCCTTACAGAAGAAGTAGAGACACCTTAAAATGAAAATAATGAATGCCCCTTGCCTTGAGTAAAAGTGTTGATTAGCCGTCTGCAAAGAACGGGAGACCTTTATTTAAGGGCAGCAGATCAGGAATAGTTAAGAAACCAAATCATGTGTTCAGTCTGATGAAAGCATTATGTTTAGGATTAACTTAAATGTCAGTGACTACCTACACTGATGCTTATCAGGAGAAGTAATGAAGACAGAAAGGAGAATACAGGAAAGAAAGAAACTCAGAGAGCACTGTGTGTGATGTAGTTGGGAACTAGC